TCAGTGCTCGTGAAGCAGCAGCCTGAGAAGACAGTTAAGTAAAGAAGAATGAGAATACAAGAAGTAAAGGACAAAATTTAGGACTAAAATGCGCTAATTCCTTTATAAAAAACCTGGATGACTGGACCATCAGCCAACGGATCAGAGTAAGGTACTCCTAGTTCTATGATATCTGAACCACATCTATCCAGCAGTTTCAGTGCTTCTGCAGTTGTTGCCAGGTCAGGATCTCCAGCAGTGATGTATGGAATAAGTGCCACCTTTGCAACAAAAAATGTGAGTTTCAATTCAAAAAATCATCAGAGATAATAAAGCTATAGTCGATCATTGTGAAAAAACATGAAAACTTTCCACGTGATTGTTCCTTTCCATTAAATCAATGTTCAAAATAGAACTTCAACTAAAGCAGGTGAATATTCTCTAAAAAACAAAAGTTGGATTTTTTTGGGGATAAACTGCCCTAGTCACTAAATTTCATAGTTCCATAGGAGCTACAGATAAAATCTTTCTCAAAGGAAACTACATCACACACAACAAGAGAAGATTTCTACATGAGTTACACTTGTTCCATCATTACCCAATCATTTTACCAAATTCTGATCAATCCCCACATTAATTAATCTTCGAAAACTAAGATGGTAAAACAAAAATACAAATCAAAGCTATAGTAAAATAAGGGGGGAAAGAAGAAGAATGAGGAGTGGAATGTGATACCTTGCCTTGCTCCTTCAATCGAGTGAAAGTCTCAGAAAGTCCAACTGTTGCTGTGGCGCTGAGGGCAGCCATTAGAGGTTTGCGAGAAGTTGAAATCTTGATTCTTTGGGTATAGGACTGAGAAAATGGATGATTTTGATGGTTGTTATTGGAGTGAATAAAGTGGGTTGCTTTCAGAAAAGATGCCATACCATCACCGAACCTTCTTTGTACTTGAAAATGGAGAAAAACCTGCGACGCACTGGGACTCGGTGTAAGATACGGCCTAACTCTAATGTAAGAATGAGAAGGCACAGAGGGGTAAGCCAAAATTGAGTATTTGCACTTCAGCCCCTTATATTTTTGGGGTGTAACGCCATTGCATTGGGGTTGTTATTTGTTCCATTAATGCGTCATAATTGATACTCTCTCTGTCCTAATTACTTGTTCACTTTTAAACTGAGATATCTATTATTAGAAAAAATACATATTTTACTCCTATTAATTATGCTGAACAAGTAAAAAAGAAAAATTAGACAAGTAATTTGAGACCAAAAAAAATATAATATCATTTTACATTTAACATGTCCTCTTCATTTTCTAATAATTTATGAAATTGTATTTTGTATTGAACTCGCCCTAATATCCTACGATTTTGAGGATATTATGTGGAGAAAATTTATCATGACCATTGGAAAGCTGAAAATTTAGTGAAATCGCATTTATATGTTTCTTCATGATCATTTTGACCAATTTGTGAAAGTCAATACAGTGACTGTTTAGTGCATAGTCTTATGATTATTTGATGGAGCAGTGGAACAATCAATCATTGATCAATCAAAACGTGGTGTCCTCTCTCTCTCCTCAAACAAAAGTAGGCCCGGCCAATTGACGGAGCTGGAACCTAAATAAGCCACAAAAACATAAAAGTGACCAAAATAAGCCACTACTTTAGTAAGTAACTAAAATAGGCTTAGTGGAAGAAAAAATTCCACTTTATCTGATATTTTAAACGTTTTCCGTTGAAGAAAAAATTCCACTTTATCTAATATTCTAAACGTTTTCCGTTAGTCTCATAATGTGTATATTTTAATATATAACGGAACTATTTCCTACACTTTATAAAATGGAACTATTTCTTACACTTTATAAAGTGTAAGTTTTTCTTACACTTTGTAAAGTGGAACTTTTTCTTACACTTTATAAAGTGGAAGAAAATCTTACACTTTACAAAGTGGAAGAAAAAATTCCACTTTACAAAGAGGATTACGTTTTTGCAGTGTTTGTCATACAATTATATTGATTTGACATATCATAAAAACGAAAAAAATTATTACACAATATTTTTTTATTTTTTTATTCTGAAAAATCCTCCAATCTCTATTTAAGGAGGATGTTCAAACATAGTTGATAGCACCTACAACATAAAGTCTTCTATATTTGTTCATTTCAATCTCAAAAAAAAATGTCTTCTAAACCAAAAGTTAGAGTTTCGATTTATTGGGATGGCGAAATTATACATGACGGAAATATCGTTTATTATAATTGTCCTCCCAAACACAATGCTAAATATTCAATTAATGTCCGATATCATAAATTTCTTTCATCAATTTATAAAAGAATGGGTATAAACAGTACTGTTTATAATTTGATTATAGTCGGAAAATACCCTACTTCATTTTTATCACAAGGACAAGTAAATTTTGGAGAGTGGATTATCTATAATGACGAATCGTTGACCGACTTTTTGAGGGTTCCAAATGACTACATAGATCAAATCAAGTTAACAATACTTGAAATCTATGTTAGGAAGGAGCCTAAGACTAGTCAACAACGTTCTCCTTTATCGGTCGATGAACATCCCCAATTAGAAAATCGTAATAGCGTTGATGGATTTCCGATAACTCAATCTACTGATTTTCCTAACATGACTCATTATCAAAATATTCTTATCGGTCGATATGATTTTGATTTGAACGAAACTATCAATGAAAGTGACTAGTAATGCTCAATAATTATATTTCGATTATTATTTGTTGATTTTGTCAATTATTTATTAATTTATATGATTTAATATTGTTGTTATTATTATTATTATTATTAATATTATTGTTATATATTTTGTAGCGGTTTACCTCAACAAGATAGGAATATTGCTCCAAGTTATGGACTAGATAATTATTTTGGTCAGTCCTCACACTTTGAAATGACGGAAAATGTTGGGACATCCTCAAATTTTCATGTCTCGCCTACTTTTGATGCAGATGATTATCGGTATGTCCAACACTTTGATTTTTTATTTAAGTAAGTTAATTGCATGAGATAAATATTTATACTTTTTTACATATATAGGGAAAATATCACACAAGATGAGCCCATTGATCCCGTGAATATCGATGATCATGACCTTCCAAATTACGGCACATCTTCAGCTAGTGATAGTGATGATTTGCCTAATGCCGAAGAATCAGGAGATAATGTTCCATTTGAGGCATCATCTAGTGATGATGGTTTTTTAATGCCCAATCAGTCGCCAAGACCAATGTCCATAAGTCTGTTTCGTAATCATGAAATTCCTTATCTTGATCATCTCCCAGATGGTCCAAATATCTTCGGCGATACACATGATGAATATTCATCACAACGTACGTGGTGTGAGCCGGAAGATTTCATGAATGGTGCTATTTATATTGAAAAAGGCATGTTATTCAATTCAAAGAAGCAATTGCAGAGAGCAGTTAAGCTTCTACATTTAAAGATAGCGAGGGAGTACTTTGTTATTAAATCGACAAAGAAATCATGGCGACTTGTTTGCAGGCGTGTAGAACAAGGATGTCGATTTAGGCTAACTTCTTTTAATGATAAACATACTAACATGTGGAAAGTTGGAAGATATATTAAAGAACATACATGTGATATGGGTACGTGCCACGATGGACATTTCAACTTGGATGTTGAGATGATTGCTAACGTCCTCCGTGTTGATATAGAAAAAACGCCAAGGTACTATTTTATCCTTAGATGATTTTTCTTTAATAAGAAAATATTCATTTTTTATTTGATAATTAATATTATTTTACTTTTAGGTTTCCCATCAAAGACTGTCAAACAGCCGTTCTTAAAGCATATGGCATTTCGATAAGCAGAAGAAAAGCCTATCTTGATCGCAAGCGTGCTTTTGAAAAAGTCTATGGTACTTGGGAGGGTTCTTTTGCCGAGTTGCCGAGGTTCATGGAAGCTTTGAAACACTTTAATCCTGGAACAATAGTTTAATGGAAAACAGAGCGGCATGTCGATGTCATTGAAGATGTATTCAACTATATGTTCTGGACTTTTAAACCATGCATTGATGG